CTGGTCCCAAATAGCGTAGACAGACTTCAAGAAGGTATCTCCCAAGATGTCGAATGGGTTGTCGCCGCGGGACTGCACTCCACCGTACCAAGTACTCTCGTCAACAGGAGCGAAGGCAAGATCCTCTGTAATAAATCTGGTCAGCCTGGCCAACTCATCAGGTCACAATTGCCTACCTTTCTGAATAACAAACTCCTTGTCGCCAATGGCAACGCTGAAGTCGGGCAGCTGATCGGCTGTCACGCTGGTGGGGAACGTGTAGCCTTGGTTTTGCTCGTCGTATTTCGCACCAGGGATGGCCTTGTACAAGGCATCACAAACCTCATCAGACACGAGGGCGAGGGTCGTGCCGGTATCAGCAATAGCAGTGTTGCTAGACTGGGTAATCTTCTTGCCGTTGATAGTGGCTGAAGTGGATGGGAACATCCAGAAACCCTCGGAATTATCAATATCGGTCCATGAGATCTCCTGGTCCTTGACGAGATCCTCTTCGACGTAGCCAAAGGTGTAGAAGGAATTTGGTGCCTCATCACGGGAGCTGTAGAATGCTGAGGTGAAAAGCTCAGCGTCCTTGGGAATGTCACCCTGCGAGATCATATTCGCAACTGGAGTGTTCTGCGGCTCGGGGGTAATTGTGTTGATTGAAGGGAATGCAAGTCCCACTGCAACATAAGTCAGTTCGTTCAATTCTGATTAGGAAGCATAATCGAGGATTTCCATAATAAAACAAACTTACAAAGACCGTCGCCAGTTCCCTGGGCAAATTGTGCGGCCAATGTTTTGGCAAGCTCAACGGCCTGGTTCTCAATCTTAAGACCTCCAATATTGACGAGATCAGTGCCGACATCACCAGAAGCGGAGCTTCCGTCTCCGTAGGAAATCTTCCAGCTCGAGCCAGACATCTTCTTGAAAGTGGAGGACTTCGACGCATCGAAGATGTTATGCCCCTTCTGGAGACTCTTGCTGAGTTCAGTAGAGAAGACCTAGAAGAATTAGTTTCATCCCATCCCATTGAACCACGTTAGGAAAACATACCCATAGATCAGACGATCCAGTATCGAAATCGAGCTTGAACTTCTGTGGCGGCGTCCCGATTTCAACCTCACAGAGGTACATGGAGTCATTCTGCTGATCCTCTGCGGTGACATCTCCAACTTCATCAGAATCCGCAGATACTCGCTTCACCAGTGTCTTCTGCTGGCGAACACGACCGCCCACTGCCACCTTGGAGCCCGCAAGACCGCGCTGCTGAATTTTGTTTACATGATGATACGGACCAGGCTTGGTGGGAGTGAAGCCGAATCGATTCAACAGATAGACGTAAGACTTGGTTCCATGGGCCTTGTAGTTCTGATTAGGCACAGCTGCCACCTTACGAAGGTTAAGCTCTCGCTTAAGCTTGGACTGCGTTGCGAAGTAGGCCTCCATAGCTGGGGTTCGTGTGATGTTCTTCAGAAGTGCTTGAGAGTGTCTCATACGAAAGAACAAGAGCTCGTGGTGAAAGAGCTTCTTAGGACGAACAGAGCGAGATGAAGGGGGGGGGGTTTCGAAGTGTGGAAAGTTGGTGTACTGATAATCGTGGGGAGTTGAATGTGGTAGGTGTAGAAGTCAAATGGTAGAGAGATGTACAGGACGGATGGGAAATGGATGATGAAGGGAGGTGCGATGAATCTTAAGAGGAGAGGAGGTCTACCTACTTATATCTTGGGGGTGCCTCATTTAGGAAGGCGCGTTACGAAACAACCTCTTTATGATCACTTGGTTACAGAGCACCTGCCTCACTAAAGCAAAAGAATGTCCCTGCTGAGCCGTCTGTCTCCTGGTCCGGGGTATCAGAGGTACCTGCAATATCACGGAAACCTCAGCTTTGCCCAGTCAAATACCTCGAAAGGAGATGCTGGCCAGTGTCTGTTTGTCGTCGTGCCCGGATGGTGGGAGGGTCGACCGGGAGGAGAACCAGGTCGTGCTGAAAACGCCAGATGAAGACTGGTGTGCCTGCATGTCTCAATCCCAGCAAGGCTATGTTGCTACGATTGTGGAAACATGGTTACAAGGTATGTGGACAACTCAGAAGGCGAGCAACCTGCCCCGCGGCTCCATTTGGCCCTGATCTAAACCTGCTTGCGTTTGGGAGGCGACAATGACGGGGATGAATCCAAAAAGAGCATTTCATTGTGCAGCAAATGACAGTCTCATGTTGAGATATAGAGCTCTGGATAAGAGACTGGTGACGACAACTCGATGCACGTGCCGTCGTGGGATGGAGCCCGGCAGTACAATGATGTTTTGGATTGGCGTCATTGTCCAAGAGCTCAGTCGAGTTGGAGGTTACATTGAGCAACGGGAAGTGCTGATTAGACCGAACAGAGAGGTGGGGGCATGGCAATGCAGGACATAGCAATGCCACACTTGTCCATCACCCATGTTGCGGTAGATTTTGAGACAAACCGTCATTGGAGAGTCCCCTGAAGCCTCTTTTTTAAGATTCTCAGTCAGACTGTTAAGTTAAGCTCTCTGGGCGGGCTTGGCTTCACAGTACCTGCATCTAAATGTTGGTGGATCGACTCTTCGACGGCTTGGCTCCAACGGCTCTGATGTGTGACAATCCAAAGGTGTAGAACAGGTAGTATTCTATTTACACCCAGCAAGCTGCCAGTCATAGACGTCAAGGTAATAATGGCAGCATCTTGTGTAACACTTATTCCCCCACATTCAGGCACGGGATGACCGTCACAAGGCAAAGACCGGCACTCGCTGCGACACCAAGAAAGCACCGAGCAAGTCAACTTTGCAAGTCATCGAGATTGATACACTCAAGTCATTCATAGCTGTGCGAGGTGTCGAGCTCTGGTAGGTCTGCGTAAAACAGAGGATCCGGAAATCTTGGCAGCCCTGTCGATATTCAACACAGAGGTTGCGCGTCTCGCAACAATGATGTAAGACTACAGCGAGCCTGTGCTGTCAGACCGCACAGACGACCTAGGTACACCTCGGAACGCCCGCATCAGCGGGTCGGCGCCCCCCTGCACCTGATGCGTACAAGGGTTATTTCATGCAGATCCAACCCTGAATGCCAAGTATCAAGTTCAAATCCAAGCTGAACGTCCTGTAAGAATCCAAAGTGATGGTCCCTGGCTGTCAATCTTCTATTTTCAGAGCGGCAAATGAGTGCCGGAAGCTAGAACCGGGAATAGGTGACTGAAGTCACCGACTCTTTGCCCGAAATATCTTTGACAACTGACCATTATGGAATCTTGATACAAGTTCTCAAATCGCTGCCGACTTAACTCTGAGTACTGGGTCTGGGGATGAGCAACTCTGGGCAAAACCGGCAAGGAAAATATCTCAAGCCTCTTCGTGAAGCGCAACTTGAAATATGCCTAAGATCATAGTTGGAAGAACTCCTTTCCGGCCCCGATGACTGGTCATGTCCTTCAAGGCTCAAACTAGGTGTATGATGAGTGTCTAATTGATCAGTTTAATTCTGCCAAAAAGAAACCCCCTCACACCATTGCTGAGCCAGACCGACTCTCCAGGAACTACTGAAGATGCTTCAACCTTTTCCTCAATCGCTAACCCTCTTTGCAACCCATCAGTCATCTTTCAATGTGTACCAAACATATTGAGACTCACCTTTCTAATGCCCAACGTCTAGTCGTGCCATCTTGACCGCCGCTACCAGCCTCCGCGTTATATTGGCGGGAAACAGGAGGCGTCACCCATCGGCCCCCTCTGAAGAAGTAGGGCGTCGTTGTGCTGCCTTCCATGACCGTGCCATCGTCCTGGTTCACCAAAAGGACTTCCTTGGTGTCTGTAAGAGCAATGCCGGCACGTTTTCGAGCGCCGTCGTACATTGCACGCTTAGTCGTCTTGTAGTGGGTGTATTCAGAGCGATGCGTTGGATCCTGGTCCAGGTAGACCTCATATACCGGCTCTCGTTCCAGAACTCCGAGGGAACCTTGAACAGCATCCTCGATATCTTGAGGTAATGCTTGAGACGGGAAGAGATTGGCTAGGGACTGCTCGGGCACATTGTTGGATTCAACACCCAGCTCTCCGTCTTTCGTTAATGTGACCTTCACTCTCGAGGGCGCGGGGCCAGATTCTAGGTTCTTCGTCAAGAATGACTCTAGGTTTTCTAGACCCTCTGGACCAGCAATTGCCTTGATCGCAGGATTCCATCCCCAATATGTTGCAGCACGCAATATGCGATCACGGTGGTAATCTAGCATATAGAACGGGGAGGTGTTCTCGTGGTTCCAGCCAGCTTGTGCGAAGCCACTGGCTGGGACGTCAAGAAGCTTTTTATCATACCGTAATGAGCTGAACAACTGGAATTCTTCAGGCATAGTGAAGCTGCGTATCTGCTGCGACCTCAACCTAAGCAACCCTGGCAATGCAATCTAGTGTTGTAGGATGCTCATGCAGTCAATGACTTAAAATGAGCTTCATGAGCACTCTTGATAGAAGAGTCATAGCTGGATGTTATTGCACTGACTCAAGTTCTAGTCCGCTAAAAGACCGCTTTGCGAGCTGCAAGCTACTAAGCTACCACTGAAGATATTGACTTGGCTACTATCGGTAGTGCAATTTCGTGTCAAGTCGCAGCTTCCTTTACTATACTAGGTAGCAAGTCGCAAATCAGCTAGTATTTTGCCTGAGGCACCAATGCCGTCAGGTCTCCATCCCCGGCCCGCTCACTAATAAGCTAACAAAGGGAGCAACGGTTACTTGCCTACCTGCGAGGGTTCAGTGGGCCTAAGCTTCTCAGCCCGGAAAAACCTCTTGCTCTGTCCATCGCGCGCAACAATTTTTCGCGTGCTCGGTAATTGGGCAAGAGCAGCTAATGCAAACCTGCATCATCGGACGACGGCAGCATCGCATCAGCCAGCTCCTTCTTTTTCACAACACCAGACTTCTTTCGTCGGCCATTCCTTTGTACATTACCTTTCCCTTAATTGATCTGCACAGAGAAGACCATGTCTGGCAGTCCTGCTCCCCTAATTCCCCCCTCAAAGGGCATCCCAGTGCCCACTGCAGACCCGTCCGTCTGGGACCGGATAACGACCTGGGCTTCAGAGCATAAGGCCGTCGTCTACACCATCGCTGGCGTCACTGTTGTCGTTGCTGGCGCTGGTGTCTTCTACTATGTCAACAACAGCTCGGTATGTTTCATGCTGCTTTTTGCACAGCTCTTTGACCCCAATTTGCAGTGGCGGAGATGTGCTGTCTTGCATGTCACCCAGCATCACATCCAAGGCCACACAGCAGAGAGCTGACCAAATATCATCGCATTTCTAGGCACCCAAGGGCGACTCCACACCTAAGCTCAGCAAGAAGGAGAGGAGGAAAAGAAAAGAAGCCGAGCGAAAGGCAGAGTCTGAGAAGGAGAAGGCGGCCAACACCTCCAAAGAAGCTGTCACAGGGCCGGCGCAACCACCAGTTGCCAGTGTAGAGAGTGCAGATGAGCTCCCAGAAATCGACGAGACCACCGTGCAGACCCTGTCTGTAGAGGAGCGTGCGAGAACCGCTACCAAGCTGAAGGAGGCGGGCAATAAGGCATATGGATCTAAGGACTTCAACAAAGCTATTGAGCTTTACTCACAAGCGATCATATGCAAACCTGACCCTGTCTTCTACTCCAACCGAGCCGCTTGCTACAATGCGCTTGCGAACTGGGAAAAGGTTGTGGAGGACACGACAGCAGCGGTCACATTGGATCCAGAGTATGTCAAAGCACTGAACCGCCGAGCCAACGCGTACGATCACCTGGGCAAGTACAGCGAATCTCTATTGGACTACACTGCTAGCTGCATCATCGACGGATTCAAGAACCCATCAAGCGCCGAAGCTGTCGAGCGACTGCTAAAGAAGTTTGCCGAGTCCAAGGCTAAGGAGATGATGGCCACGAAGCCTGCTAAGCTGCCGAGCCCGACCTTCGTCGGCAACTACCTGCAAAGCTTCCGAGTCAAGCCAAGACCAACGGGGCTAGAGGATTCGAACGAACTGCCTGAGAGCACTGGCATGGGACAACTACAAGTCGGCCTGCGAGCCCTCGAGGTCAAGACTGGCGAAGGCTACGAGGAGGCCGCAACTGCTTTTGACAAGGCACTGGAATTGGGCGATCTCGGCGAATACGAGGCTTTCGCATATAACATGCGTGGAACGTTCCAGTGTCTCCGAGGCAAGCATGAGGATGCTCTACTAGACCTGACGAAGAGCATTGAGCTCGACCCGGCCATGACCCAGAGCTACATCAAGCGAGCTAGCATGAACCTTGAGCTAGGTATGTATAATCCCTGCGATAATCGGGTGCCTGTGATTGACAGTCTTCTGTAGGTGCACCGGAAAAAGCAGAGGAAGATTTCGAGGCTGCCATGAAGCAGAACAGCGACGACCCCGATATCTACTACCACCGCGCGCAATTGCACTTCATCAAGGGTGAATTCTCGGAAGCCGCCAAGGACTACCAGAAGTCCATTGACCTAGACCGGGATTTCATCTTCTCCCACATTCAGCTCGGCGTGACTCAGTACAAGATGGGATCTATCGCTTCATCGATGGCGACATTCCGCCGCTGCATGAAGAACTTTGACAAGGTCCCAGACGTCTACAACTACTACGGTGAGCTCCTGTTGGACCAGGGTAAGTACCAGGAGGCCATCGAGAAGTTTGAGACTGCAATCCAGATGGAGAAGCAGGCGAAGCCGACTAGCATGAACGTCCTACCTCTCATCAACAAGTCTCTCGCCATCTTTCAGTCAAAGCAGGACTTTGCTGAGGCTGAGAAGCTATGCCAAAAGGCGCTTATTAGTATGTGGCACCAACCATATGTTTGTTGTAACACGCACTAACATGTTCGCAGTTGACCCTGAGTGTGATATTGCTGTTGCCACGATGGCTCAGCTTCTCCTTCAGCAGGGCAAGGTGACAGAAGCGCTCAAGTACTTTGAGCGCGCGGCAGAACTGGCGCGAACGGAGGGCGAGCTGGTGAACGCACTGTCCTACGCCGAGGCTACCAGGACGCAGATTCAGGTGCAGGAGAAGTACCCTGCCCTGGCGTCTAAGCTTCAGGGCATGGGAGGCCCACCTGGCCTTCGATAGATGCATCGACACTCGCAGGTCTTCTAGACTCGCATCTCGGAAAGGGAGGATATAGGTGGAGACGAAGACGATTGGGAGGTTTCCTTGGACTACAAAAAGGGGTCGCAGGGGAACACTTGTAAACGACAAACATGACGCCCCTATGCCGGGCTGTTCTTTTTTTTCCCTTTTTCTTCCTCGTTTCACGCTCAGCATCGACTCATAAGGGGAGTTCAGGATGGAAACTCGAATCTCCCACCTTCGCGGTGTCCTATATGTATTGATCATGGGGTTTTCTGCGCAAACCTTGCTGTACATAATAATACCTCCCTCATTCCCGTTACTCGGGGCAAACCAAATGTAGAACTATCATTTAAAAAATTACCGCGACGTTCTCATTAGCATGAATGGCTGGTGCAAAAGCTGCGACAGAGTTGACAAGTCACATCACGGCTCGTGGTTTTCAAGAAGAGAGTTACTAAAAAGAAAATGCAGTCTCTTTAAATTTCCCCCCAACCGAAGAAACCGCCCGCAATCCAATTTTTCGCGTCTGGTTATATACACAATGGCGCAGGGCGGGAAGAAGCAGCCTGCTCTCCAGACTGCAGTCCTAGCCGCAGCAGGGCTCCAAAATGCGCCTGAGAGGCGAGCCGTCCCCCAAGAATTAGTGTAATATGGGTTGCGTAGACAAGTCATGTATCAGAACAGACGCCGCTGGGTGATCAAAAAATGTGTTGCATCGCAAAAGGAGACATCTTCCGGGGCTCTTCGCCATACATACTCTCACAAAAGCCTCCGCGTCATCCATCGACCGAGACCGGGCGCTCCGCTCATACAGAGCCGGCATGCCCGGACTGCGATGGTCCTTCTCGGGGCGCTGATGGCGTCCCGAGTATCAAATCTACTGGAGCCTTCCAAACGCTCTATTTGCTGGTAGCGTTCTTTCCGACTGTGAGACCGAGGGCAACGCCTAACGCGATGGCGATGACGATCAATAGAACGACGAGAGCGCACCACCACTTGAGTTTCCGGGCACGTCGGGCGTGGGTAATGCCAACTGCGACCTGCTCGTTACCCTTCTGAAGGTGCTGGTTTGTCTGCTCTGTCTGCTCCTCGGCTCTAATGACAGTAGGCTCTTGCTGTACCACGAGGGTATCGAGGTCCTGGAAGAGCCCGGCAAGCTCAGTAATCGACTGCTCGATCTTCTGGAGCTCATTGTGGCGCGCGCGGACAGCACCAAGAACGGCAGATGCCTGGCCTGTCCGGTTGGTTCGGAGCTAATCGATCACTGTCAGCACTCTCACGTCCAATCGCAAGGCAGCTACTCCGGGCCATCCTGCGCTGGTGGAATCGACTTACCGCAGTCTGGAAGATGCCCTCATTGCCCCAATCCCTGTCGGCCGCCTCGCGCACCTCCGTCTCCGTGGCATCCGGGTTGACGATGCGGTACTGGCGGGCGATCTGGTCGCGGTAGCGCTCCTTGTACTGCTGCTCCTCCTGCAGGTAGCCCTGGAGCTCCTTCTTGAAGTCGTTGTTGAGGGCGTCGAACTGGCGCTTCTTGAGGCCGGCGCTGCCGTCGGTGGTGCGCTCGACGTCGGCCTTGAGCGAGCGGATCTGGTCGCGGATGCTCGTGTTCTTGAGCTGCGTGCTGGCCACCAGCCCGTCGAGCTGCTGCTGCGCCTGCGGGTCCGAGCCCGCCAGCGCCCGCTGGTGCAGGCCGGCGATCTGCTGCACGTCGGCCGTCAGCGACCGGATCTCGCTGCGCACATGCGACACGCGCGACAGGAAGTCCTGCTGCGAGAGGACGTGGACGGCCGGCGCCGCGGCGGGCTGCTGGTCGTAGGGCTGGCCGTACGGCTGCATCTCATGCTGCTCCTGCGGAGGGTATCATTGTCAGACGCTGCAATCTCCCTTCATCCTCCGAGTGGCATCCAAGCCCAGCTGGATGGGCGGATGGATGTCTCGGGTGCGAGGGACCGGACGGAAAAACTCACTTGCTGGCCATAGGGATTACCATAGCCGTAGCCAGACTCCTGCGAGGGGCCCTGCTGGTAGGGATTTCCGGAATACTGGGAATAGGACATGCTGTCTAGAGGTGAAGAGAGTCCAATTGAGAAGAGCTCGTGGGTGCTCGAGGGAAATCCGGGCTGACTATATTCGGCGTCCCAGGAGGCTCAGTCAGCTGTCAGATTTGGCAGAAGACGAGGACAGAGGTGTTTTAAGTTAAGGTTGAATGTAGTTGGATGAGAGCGAGCGAGCGGGAGCTGGGGATGACGTTAAACCTTGGCGGCTGATTTTGCAGAGGCAATGCCCGCCAGACAGGCTTTTGACAGGGTGACCAGGGGACCCTCCGGAACAGCCACTCTCCTCTGCCTCTACTCTGGAGGTATGGAGGACACTACCTGACTAGGTACCTACACAATTACCACCCCCTGCAATTGTTCCTGGCTCTAAAATTGTTTTTTTGCGATTATCGCCTGCAGGGTGCCCCCCTCTTCTACCTTCTAGAAAAGAACCGGTAAGGCGGCGGCCGATTACACAATTGCTTGTCTGGATTGCTTTGATTCTCAGAGAGGTTTGCTTTCAGTCCAAGACCGGCAAGTTGTGCTGCAGGCAACAAGCAGACTCCAGTGACGTGTGCGATGTATGCTAGATGTAGTAGAGTATAGGTAGGTAGGTAATCAACTGTACCCGAAAGAGGCGAGATTGGTCTCTGGATGGGAGAAATCAACATGCGCATAAAGACCGCCGTCCGCGGGCTTGGCACAGGATGATGCGGGTTCAATCAACGGCAACCTTCACCACGACGGAATTGACTTGAAGACCACAATGATACATACGCGAACATCCTTTATACAAGATCCAGCCTTTTCTAACAAGGCGCCGCGATGCTCCAAGTTACCTATGCACTACCTGCTGACTATCTACCTAGATACCTACCATAGGTACCTTGTTAGGTATGGATCCTGGGGATTTGCCGCACCTACTCACATGCTGAAGTGCGGCGGCATCAGCAAGGCAGCCAACAAACAGCGCCGTAGCTCTGAACGCGCAGCAGGCTTCTTCCTTTCCGTGTCCGTAGGACAAGGACGGGCAGACAGCGGCTCCCACTCTTGTTCGCACGCGATTCAATCCAATCCGCTCAGCAGACCCTGAGAAGAATGACAAGATCAAGATCTGAGAGGATCTGGTACCGGTAGACAGTTCACCAAACCACTAAGCAGGCGACTGGATGGCGAATTCCATAGCGTCACCCTTGAGGCTTTGTCAAGCTTAGTCGCACTGAGACGACGGCGATGCGCCTCAATCTGCACAGCAAGCGTTTTCCCGAGAAACGGGGCGGCGCATTGGCCGAGGAAGAAGATCAGCAGCTGGCGGGCAGGCTTGCATGTTTCGTTTCTAAAGATACCTTACATACCTACAGTACCTACCCGTGGGACCCATTGATACCGTACCCGTATCGACGATCGCCGTATGATCAATCACTCGCCTTGCACACTGGGAACCGCACCGCCGGAAGGGGGCTGAGTGGGCTCGGAACTCGCACGACCCTTGGCGAGCTGTAGCCTGTGTGTCTAGTGCAGCCTGCCAAGGCCTGTGGCCTGTGACCACGCGGCTCCCTATCCCACTGGAATGTCTTCGCTATTCAGGGTTTTGGAAGCTTCTTTTGTTGTTGCCTCAAGCTGAGATCGGGGGTGATACAAAACACTTGCTTGCAATGTGCATCAATTGGACAACATCTACCAATAGATGCATTTCCTGACTAGTCATGAAGCAAAACACTTCAGATTCACACGCCATAGAAACCCCAACCTATGCATTCATTCACTGGTTTAATTCATGGCCAGGTGTGAGATAAGTGTCTTATTCTGCCTGCCTAAATCTTGTCTCGCACTCAAGGCCTCCATTTGGCAATTCTGCGGAGCTAATTGGCTGTACTCCTCCGAAAAGGTAATAAAACATTAATTCTTGCAGGGTGAAGATACTCAAGATTGAGAGTCGTAATACTCATC